GAGTTTAGCTTTTACCTTCCCCGACAGCCAAAACCATCTCCCTGCATGTCCCACCATTCCTGGCACCCCTTGTGACTGTGACCACATTGTGCTGACGGCTCCCTGTGTCCCCAACCCTCACCTTGTCCTTGCCTTGAGTTGAATAAATGCTAAATTACCCCAAAAAGGCCAGGCGGGCAGAGGGGTGCTGCAGGTCCCCTTTGCCCCGGCTCCTGGGGTGACATGGGGGGTGGCACTCGTGGGTGCACGTGTGTGTCTGGGACCAGTGCAGCAGTTAGAGCTGAAGTGTCTGCCCTGGAGTGGGCAGATCCCGCCTACTCCAAGGGACATCATCGCTCTATGGGGCACTGTCACCCTGTGGGGCATCGTCACTCCAAGGAGCATCGTCACCCTGCGGGACATCGTCACCCCCTGGGGCATTGTCGTCCAGAGGGACATCATCACCCCGTGGGACATCAGCACCCTGCGGGGCATCGTCACCCCGAGAGACACCATCACTGTATGGGGCATTGTCACCCCATGGGGCACTGTCACCCTCTGGGGTATTGTCACCTTGTGGGACATTGCCACCCTACAAGGCATCAGCACCCTGTGGGGCATCGTTACCCCCACAGCATTGTCACCCTGCAAGGCATCGTCACCCCACAGGGCACTGCCCCCCTCGGGCATTGTCACCTCATGTGCCAGCCCCCTTGTGCCCGCTGCCAGCCTCTCTGCTCCTCCTGCCTGCTCTGCCTACATGATGGGGACATGATGGCTTTCCGGAGACTTTGCCTGCTTGGGGACAGGAACCCCTTCTGCCTCTTCTGCCTGCTTGGGGGCACGGGTGTCTGCTGGCTCCTGGGGGACAGGAACGTTCTCCCCTGCCTGGGGACAGGATCCTCAAGTACCTACACAGGGACTAGATCATTTGTGCCTGCTCAGGGCTCTTCTGGCTCTTTGGGGACAGGGTGCTGCTCTGCCTGCTTGGGAACACAGCCACTTTCATCTGCTTGGGGACAGGAGCCCCCTCTGCCTACTGCCAGCCTGCTCAGGGACATGGGCATCCTCTGGATCCTTGGGGACAAGATCACTTTCCCCTGCCTGGGGGCAAGATCCTGGAGTACCTACACGGGGAGAAGAGCGTTTCTGCCTGCCTGGGGACATGGGCATCTGCTGGGGACAAAGTCCTGCTCTGCCTGCTTGGGGACACAGTCACTTTCAGCCGCTTGGGGACAGGAGACCCCTCTGCCTGTTCAGGGACACCAGCACTTTCTGGCTCCATGGGGACAGGGTCCTGCTCTGCCTTCCTGGGAACTTGGGAATCTTCTGGCTCCATGGGGACAGGGTCCTTTCTGCCTGCTCAGGAACATGGATACTTTCACCTGCTTGGGGACAGGAGCCCCATCTGCATGGAGACACGGGCATCTCCTGGCTCCTTGGGGACAGGATCATGTCTGCCTGCCTGGGAACAGGGCCCCTGAGTATCTATTTGGGCCCAAGATAATTTCTGCCTGCTTGGGGACACAGGCATCTCCTGGCTTCCTGGGAACATGGACTCTGGCCTCGCCCCTCCTGTGGCACCCAGCTGGATGGGCGTCCCCTTTACTGGGGACCATGGCCCCTGACTGGACCTCTCACTATCCCCAAAGCCTTGGGCTGGCAGCAGCAGCAGCGTGGCTCCCAGGACTGCTCACCTGGCTCAGCTCAAACTCATCACCCCACATCTGGGGCACCACTGGCACCGAGATCTGGGGGGCCTGGGGCTGGACCGTGTCCCAGCTGCTCACTGGGATCCTTCCAGTAGCCACCAGTTCCCATGTACTGGAGCTGGGGTGGCTTCACTAGTGCTGTGCTGAGGGTCCCTGCTGCTTGCTGGGGCCTTCCCAGCAACAACCAGTTCCCACATTCCGGAGCTGATGAGGTCACTGTCACCAAGATCTGAGGGTCCCAGGGTTGGACCATGTCCCAGCCACTCACTGGGGTCCTGCCAGTAGCCACCAGTTCCTGAATATTCGAGCTGGTGGGGTCACTGACACTGTACTGAGGGTCTCAGGGCTGGACCATGTCTGAAATGCTCACTAGCATCCTCCCAGTAACCACCAGTTTCCAGATATCAGAACTGGTGGGGTCACTGGCACCTCAATGAGGGTCTCAGCCATCACCAAAGTCCTCCCAGTAGCCACCAGTTTCCACACATTGAAACTGGTGGGGTCATTGGCACTTCAATGAGGGTCTTAGCCATCACTGGAGTCCTTCCAGTAGCCACCAGTTCCTGAATATTCAAGCTGGTGGGGTCACTGACACTGTACTGAAGGTCTCAGGGCTGGACCATGTCCCAGATGCTCAATGGAGTCCTCCCAGTAGCCACCAGTTCCTGAATATTCAAGCTGGTGGGGTCACTGACACTGTACTGAGGGTCTCAGGGCTGGACCTGCCTGAGATGCTCACTGGCATCCTCCCAGTAGCCACCAGTTCCCAGATATCAGAACTGGTGGGGTCACTGGCACCTCAACGAGGGTCTCAGCCATCACTGGAGTCCTCCCAGTAGCCACCAGTTCATGAATATTCGAGCTGGTGGGGTCACTGACACTACTGGGGGTCTCAGGGGTGGACTGTGTCCCAGATGTTCACTGCAGTCCTCCCAGTAGCCACCAGTTTCCACATACTGAAACTGGTGGGGTCATTGGCACTTCAATGAGGGTCCCAGCCATCACTGGAGTCCTCCCAGTAGCCACCAGTTCCTGAATATTCAAGCTGGTGGGGTCACTGGCACTGTAATGAGGGTCTCAGGGCTGGACTGTGTCCCAGATGCCCACTGCCCAGTAGCCACCAGTTCCCACATACCAGAGCTGGTGGGGTCACTGTCACTGAGACCTGGGGGTGACCCGTCCCCAGGCCAGAGCTTATCGACCAGCTCGAGGACTGTGGCCCTCTGGTGACAGTGACCCACGTAGCCGATGCCACCACGGGAGGGGACACCACCTCCCCGCGCATCCCTCGGTGGCGGTGGGTGACGCCGCGGCGTAACCGCGCCGTTGCTTTGCGACAGCTGGCGCCGAGGACGGGCGACGAGGAGCCGGTGTCACCAACCCCGCGGCCACCACGGGAGGAGCCGGAGGAGCCGGCCACGCTGCCGGCCCGCGTCAGCAGCGTCCAGCTGGAGGGCTACCTCGGCCGCAAGCACGACCTGGAGGCGGCCACCAAGCGCGCGTCCAACCGGTAGGCAGGGCGGTGGCAGCGGCGGCGGGGCCCGCGGTGTCCCCGGGCGGGGCGGTGACACCAGGGTGACCCGGTGCTGGCGCAGGTCGTGGAGCACGCGGTACTGCGTCCTGCGGGGCGGCCAGCTCGCCTTCTTCAAGGACGCCAAGAGCCGCGCGCTGGGGCTGCCGTGCCAGGGCGAGGAGCCCCTGGGGCTGCGCGACGCCCGCTGTGAGGTCCCCGCCGGCTACAAGAAGAAGAAACACGTCTTCAAGCTCAGGTGAGGGCACGGCGTGGCGCGGGGGGCACGGTGGGCACGCGTGGCACTGGCCTATGTCCTCTGTCCCCAGGCTCAGCAACGGCAGCGAGTGGCTGTTCCATGGCAAGGATGAGGTGAGGGGTGGCCTGGGGGGGGACATGGGGTGGCTGGGGGACACAGTGGTGACCAGCAGTGACCAGGGGGACAGAGGGTGGCCAGTGGTGCTCAGGGGACACAGGGGTAGTAGCCAGAGAGGTCCAGAGGGGCACAGGGTGACACCACTGGTGCGCAGGGGACATGGTGGCCAGCAGTGACCAGGGGGATGTGGGGTGGCTGGTGGTGCCGAGGGGGACACAGGGGGATAGTAGCAGTGCCCAGGGGACACAGGGGTGGCCAGGGGGACACTGGGGGGCCAGTGGTGGTCAGTGGACACAGGGGTGGCAAGAGGTGCCATAAGGACACAAGGAGGGGCTGGCAGTGCCCCAGGGGAATGTGGGCAGCTGGGGAAGACGTGGGGCAACTGGCATCACCCTGGGGGACATGGGGGTGGCCGGGAAGGTGCTGGAGGGACAGGGGAGCCCCTCCTGATCTCCCTCCCGTGCCCACAGGAGGAGCTGCAGGCCTGGCTGCAGGGGCTGAGCGCGGCCATCACCGAGTGTCGGGGCAGCTGGGGGAAGACGCAGAGCCTCCCCCTGTCCCTGCCCCCGGCGCCTCCTGAACCCCCCTTGCCCCGCAAGGACAAGGAGAAACGCTTCAGCTTCTTCCCAAAAAAGAAATAACCCCCCCGGATGGCGGGCGGGGGGAGGGGGGACACCCCACGTCAGGCCAGCGGGGCCACGCGTGTGTAAGGACACGCGTGTGCGGTACCTGTACAGGTGCCACCGGGTCTAGAGGGCACGTGGGGGGGGTGTCACACACGTGGGCGGGAACCCCCCCCCCGAGCACACGTGTCCGTGTGCACAGGTGTATATATATATATATATATATATATATATTTGTATTTATATATATACATACATTTACACGTTTCAGGCACACGCCTGTGCGGAGGCGAGCGCAGGTGCCCCCCCCCCGGCGCGTGCCCCTCGTGCCCACGCGTGTCCCTGCACGCACACGTCTGCACACGTGTGTCCCCGCATGCAGGTGTGCACCCCCGGCCCCCCCCCCTCCGCACGCACGGCACGGGTGTGCATGGACCCCCACCCAGCACCCACACGGGGGGGTGCGCGGGTGCCCCCCAAAGCCATAAACACCCCCTGTCCCCCCGCAGCACGTGGGTGCAGAGGGGGTACCCCCCCCGGCCCCCGCGGGCACCAACCAAAGAGCGTCGGCCCATGGAGGCCCCTCTCCAGCACCCCCCGCCCCGTGTCCCCCCCAGCCGGGGTGGGGGGACCCCCCCTGCACCCCGCGGCCGGGCCAAGACACCTCGGGGGGGGGGGCGGGTGACCAGAGAGGAACTTTGGGTTCAGTTTGGGTTTTTTTTTTCTAATAAAGATATGAAAGCGAGCGGGGTGCAGTGCTGGGCACCGGGGGGGGGAAAGGGGGGCTGGGGGGCACTGAGGGGACATGGGGAACCCCTAGTCCTGGGCACAGGGGGAGGTTCGTGGGCTGCCCCTTTTTCCAGGTAGGTTGGGGGTCCCCAGGGTGCTCTTTCTGCCAGGTGGGTTGGGGGGCCACGGGGTGCCCCTTCTTCCAGGTGGTCCATGGGATACTCCTCCATGGGATACGGGTTGGGGGTCCATGGGATACTCCTCCTGGACAAGTTTGCTGTCCGTGGGGTGCCCCTTCTTCCAGGTACATTGGAGGTCCATGGGATACTCTATCTCCTGGACACGCTCGCTGTCCATGAGGTGCTCCTTCTTCCGGGAGGGCTGGGGGTATCCATGGGGTGCCCCTTCTCCTGGGCAAATTGGAGGTCTCCAGGGTGCTCCTTCTCCCAAACAACTTGGGGGGCTGTTTCCTCCTTGCCCTTTCTTCCAGGTAAGTTGGAGGTCCATGGGGTGCTCCTTCCCCTGAGGGTCCGTGGGGTGCTCCTTCCCCCGGGGGTCCACAGAACGCCCCTTCTCCCCATCCCCCCTCCTAGCTGGCAGCGTCGAGGCTCTGAAACTTCTGCCGGAGGTCCCTGACGAGGCCGTGGCGGGGGGGCTCGGGGGTGTCGGGGGGCTCGGGGCAGCGCCGCCGGTACTCCTCGGAAGCCTGGTAGGCTTTGCAGCGCTCCACCACCGCCTTCAGGCAGATCTTCTCGCGGGTGGTGGGCGAGCGGATCTGCACGTACGTAGGGGGCTCCGGCAGCCGCTCCAGCACCAGCACCCGCTGCCCGGGGCCCAGGGGGGCTTCTGCCGCCACCCACAGCGCCCCGTCGCTGCTGTGCCTCGCCGGCGCCGGACTCCGGCTGTCGGACCCCCCGTTGGCCTCGGCGCTCCGGCTCCGGCCGCCGCCGCGCTCCTTCCCGACGGGGCGCCCGCCCCGAACGGGACCCTCGGGCGCCGAGCGGCTGCGGCTCACGGGCGGGGGCCGGGGGGCGCCGAAACGGGCACGGAGCTCCCGCACGTCGGGCCAGGCGAAGGGCTCGGCACCCACGGGGCTCGAGGGGCTGCGGGGGACACACGGGGACGGGGGCACCGCCAGCCCTCCTCCGTCCCGCGGCGCAGCCGGCGAGGGCGTGCTGGGAGGGGGGTCCCCGTCCTCCCGCGGCAGCGGGGGCCGGCGGGCGCCGGCGCGGCGGCTCTTGATGCGGAGGCTGTACTGCCGTGCCAGCTGGTACACCTTGGTGCCCAGGTGAGGGGGGGTCAGCAGCAGCTGGGGGGGCGGCCCCGGGGGTGACCCCCTGGCGCCCACATCATCCTCCTCCAGGATGAGCAGCGGCTCCGGGGGCTGCACCCCGTTCTCCTGGCACGGCTCCGGCGCCTCGGGCTGCGCGGGGGGCTCGGGGCTCCCGGGGGGCCGCGGGAGCCCGTTGAGGCGGGACACGGAGCTGCGCACCAGCCCCTTGGGGATGAAGGAGAGGCTCTCGCGGCGGCGCACCCCAAAACCGGCGTCGCGGTGCTCGGCGTGGCCGTAGTAGCTCTTGATCTTGTCGAGGAGCAGGCGGTCCCGGTTGGAGAGCAGCGATTCCCGGCGGGCTCTGGCGAAGGGCTCGGGCGAGGGGATGGTGCTGCAGGCGCCCCCGGGCTCCCCGGATTCGAGCGGGGGGCCCCCGTCCAGGCTGAGGGTGCTGCCGCCGTGGCTGGGGGCACGTCCCAGCGGCCCCTCCAGTGCCAGGCTGCTCCGCCGGGACAGGCTGCTGCCGCCGCCGAACCGCTCGGCGATGACGCTGGCCTGGTCCAGCACGGAGGGCGGCAGGATGCTGGCAGCTCGTTCCTCCTCCTCCTCCTCCTCGCTGCTCAGCACCTGCAAATCCTCCGCAGGGCGCTCCGGCTCCCTGTCCCCGCTGGGCAGCGCCGGGGGCCCCGCCGGGGACGGGGATTTGGGTGTCTCTGGCACCTCACGGTGCTCCCCGGCGCTGCCAGCGGGTGAGTGGGTGCTGGGTCCCTGGGGACCCCCAGGTGGGGGCTGCAGGGCTGCACTGACCTTCTCACAGCTCCCCGGCCCCCAGCTGCTCGGCCGTTTGGGTCCCTCCAGCACCCATGAGTGCCCCACAGCCTGGGCGAGAGCAAAGGTGGGGTGTCACGAGCTGAGGGGGCACTGGATGCTCCAAGTAGGGGGAGTCCCAGCCAAACCACAGCTTGGGACCCTGCAGTGGCCTCAGGAGCAACAGAGGGTGCCCTGGTACTGATGTGGGGTACCCCAGGAGTGGTGTGGGATGCTCTGGGAGTGATGTGGGGTACCCTAGAAGAGATGTGGGATGCCCTGGGAATGATGCTGGGTGCCCTGGAAACAATATGGAGGGCCCAGGAGTGATACCAGGTGCCCTGGGAGTGACACTGGGTGCTCTGGGAGTCATATGGGGTGCCCTGGAAACAATATGGAAACACCCCGGGAATGACACTGGGTCCTGCCCAGGGAGGGATGTGGGGTGCCCAGGAAGTGATGTGGGATGCCCCAGGAGCTATACTGTGTGCCCTGGGAGTGACATGGGGTACCCCAGAAGCGATCTGGGGGACCGAGGGGGGTACCTGCTCTTCCTGGGGCTCCACCAGTCGATTCCCAGCCTCAGGCAGCTCTTCCTGGCAGTCCTTGCCCAAAGCCTCCTCTCCCTCCTCCTCCTCTTCCTCCTTCACCATGCCCTCAGCCACCGCCCAGGCTCTGGGGTGCTGGGGGGGCTCCCCCCCTTCCAGGAGTGCCCCGTCGCTGCCAGAATGCTGCGCGGGGGCGAGGGCAGGGCTCAGCACCCCGTGCCAGGGCTGGGGGGCACTGGGCACGCCAACCCACCCACACCCAGCCTTACCTTCAGCCCTGCCAAACAGGAGAGAGAAAAGCAGAGATTAGGGGAGTGCAGCATCCCAAAATTGCCCCCACAGCCCCCGGCCGCCCCTCTGCCTGTCACGCCCGTGCCGCAGCCCTGCCAGCTCACCTTGCTCGCCCAGGTGCCACAGGTTGTGCTTGGAGGGCTCTGTGGGGAGGTGAGGTGACAGTGGCATCACCCCTGTGTCCCCAAACTTGTCAGCACCCCGAGCCCCCCGAGCCTTGCTGCCATTCGCACCCGACTGCCTGCGCCCCCCGTGTCCCTGCAGCCGTTCCAGGAGTGTCTCCATGTGCTCCTGGTGCTGGAAGGGCTCTGTGGGGACAGGAACAGGGACACCATCAGCAGCCAGTGCCACCCTCCCTGCAGGCATTGGTGTCACCCAGCCATGGCTTGGCCCGGGTAAGTGGTGGAGGTGGTGCGGTGTGGACACTGGGGACAGTGGGAACACGGAGGACAGTCAGGACACTGGTGACACGCAGCTCTCACCAGACTGCCGGCGTCCCTGGAGTGGCTCGGTGGCAGTGTCACCCAGGGGCTGGCAGGACCAGCTCTTCTTCAGGCGCTCGGGGCTGCAGCGGGGCAGGCGCGGGGGGTCTGTGGGGACAGGGGATGACACGGGGGAACACGGGGAGGGAACAGAGGAGGGCAGGGAGGGAATGGCGGGGTGCCGGTGCCACTCACAGAACAGGTCCATCTCCAGGATGGCTTCCTTAGCCTAGGTGGGGGAGGATGAAGAGAGATGAGGGTGAAGGTAGGGTGCAGCTGCCCCCCACTTGCCATGCTGGGGGGTCCCCGGTGGCACCAAGGTGCCATCCACCTCACCCTCACCTTCTGGGGGATGGTGGCGTGGTGGTTCTCCAGGATGAGCCGCTTGATGTGGTGGGTCCACATTCGCTTCTCCTCCACACTCTTGGCCTGAGGGGCACAGGGAGGGCGCTGGGGTCAGGCAGGGGGCTCCCAGGGGGGTCCCCAGGGTGCCCAATGCCCCGTGCCCCATTACCTGCAGGCTGTGCTGCTGCTTGCCGTGCTTGTAGTGCGCCAGGCTGAAGCACAGCGAGTCCCTCGTGCTCTCGATCAGCATCAGCGAGGAGCACTGCAGGGAGAGGCATCGGCATGCCCGGAGTGCACCGGGACTCCCACCCCAGAACCCACCGAGGTCCCTGACACCCACTCCGTTCCTCCATCCCTGGCATCCACCGGGGTCCCCAGCACTCAGTGGGCTCCCCCATGCCCAGCACCCCCCAGTGCCCCATCCCTGTCCCGCACCGGGATGTGGCTCTTGTACACGTAGTGGTCCCCGCGGCGCTTGGTGATGAGCAGGGCCTTGTCGAAGAGGAAGAGGGCACGGTCGTGGCGCACCCGCTGCGTCCGGAAGGTGCCCTCCAGCACCAGCTCCCCGTAGCTCGTCAGGTCCGGCCCCTTCCAGCCCAGCAGCAGCGACTGGATCTCCTGCACGGACACACGGGGGACACAAGCATCAGGACACCTGCCACAGCGCCCACCCAGTGCCCCCCCAGCAGCGGTGACCCCCCGGTGCCCACCTGCTGGCGGATGGCGTGCTCGTGCTTGCGCTTCATGTCGTTGATGTACCAGGCGACGCAGGTCATGGTGTCGATGGCCTCCAGCACCAGCTCGTAGTCGTCCCCCGCCTTGTGCTCGAAGTGCCGGGCGATCTCCTGGGCACAGCACGTGCCATCAGGGCAGTGCCCGCGGGCACATCCTACCCGGGGTGTGCCAGGGGAATGTGCCCTGCCAGTGCCTGGACTGCTCCAGGGAACCTCTGCCAGGTGCCCGTGCCACAGCGGGTGCCCACACCGTGCCGTGCCACGCGCCGGGCGCTCACCTGGAGCAGCAGGTGGTACTTGAGGATCCTCTGGACGGGCTTGAGCAGGTAGGCCCCGAGGGGCAGCGCGTGCCGCAGCCGCTCCTGGCATTCCCGCAGGAACCGCGCCTGGACCTTGCTCCTCATGCACTCGGACAGCGCTGCCACCGAGCTGTGGGCAAGGGAGCAGGCTCAGGCCCCTGCCCACCTCTGCCCACCTCCCTGCCCACCCCCCTTTGCCCTCACTCACCTGGGGTAGTTGTTGCAGTACTGGGTGTAGATGGTGAATTCCTGGCTCTGCGGGCAGAGGGAGTGTGGTGAGACCCTGGCACGGCCCCAGTGCCCCCCTGGTGCCCCCCACGCCCCTCACCATGCCCGCCCTTACCCGGGTGACAAAGCACACGGCCACGGCCACGGGGTCACTGGCACAGCTCTCCAGGTTCTGCAGGAGGGTGCTGGGGGGCACAGAGGGGACAGGGTGACCACAGCCCCCCACACTCACGGGACAGGGTGGCACTCCAGTGTGTGTCCCCCCCCCGGGTGGCACCTGCTCGCCCACCTGCTGAGCTCGTAGATGTCCTCGATGTTCCCGAAGAGCGCGCTGACCTGCTCCGGCCGCAGCACCGGCTCCTCCGCGTCGATGATCTTGCCCAGGTAACCCTGCCAGGCACCCACGGTGGCAGTGACACCCCCCAGACCCCAAAACCCACCCGAGGGTTGTCCCCCCGGGTGCCCCCCCTGCACCCACCTCCACGATGCTGCGCAGGTCGCGGGCGTAGGTGCGCTCCGACTCCACAATCTCCAGCACCACGCGGTCCAGGTAGCTGGGCTTGGCCCCAGGACCCCCGAAAGGTGCCAGGGGGTGCCCGCTGCGGGCACCCGGCCACCCCCCCGGGGCCGCGTTGTTGTTGGTGTTGTGGAGCCCCTCGGCCCATGGCTCGGTCACGGCACCGGCCAGATCCTCCATGGCACAGCCGGGCTCCAGGCTCAGGGCAGGGCGCTGTGGGCAAGCGGGCACTGGCATCCCGGCATCGCCTGGCACCGGTGGGGCACAGGGCGGCTCTGCGGGGAGAGTGGCGGGGTTAGGGGGTGCGGGGACCCCCCCAGATCTGGGTGGCATGTGGCACCAAGAGGGGTCACCCTGATGAAGAGCCCTGATGGCCAAACCCCCCCCCCGCCATGCCAAGGGGTGCCAGCATCCCCCAACCCTGAAAATCCCCAGATACAGCACAAAGGAATCTTGGCACAGCCCACTACAATGCTGAGAACGGGAGGTTCAGCCCCCCTCCTCACCCCACACTCAGGGACTGTGCTGGGACCAGGTGGGACCAGCGCCATCACCCCCACCCACCGGGGCCGTGCGTCAGCGCCGCGCCCGCGGGACACCTTCCAGGTGAGCTCAGTGCCGGCTCGCCCTTCCGGACCACCAGTGCCACCGGGATCCTCCTGTGCCACCGAAACTGCTCGGTGCCACCAACACAGCTGGGGCACCAAGAAACAGCGGCCAGCAGCAAAGCACATCGGAACAGCGAGGCCACCGAGCCTGGTCACCCCGGAGAGTGGCCCTGGGGACGGTGACCTTGAGCCAGGACACGTGCTGTGCCGGGGACATGGCCACCCGAGCCCCCCGGCACCCCCAGCACCGGCACCCAACCGGTCAGGCCGGTTCCTGCCGGCGCCTCCCCACACCCACCGTGCCGCCTGGCCGCCATCCTGCCACCGCCCTCCCCGGGGCTTCCCCAAGCACGCCAGGAGCCCCCCAAAAAGCCACCGCGGTGCTCCCCAAGTGGGGTCCAGCCCCACAGCCCCAGTGGTGCCACAGCCTGGGACCCTGGGGGCTGGCACAGCTGGCTCTGCCGTGAGGCACCTCCTGGGCACCCCAGATGATTTGGTGAGCAGCCCCCCCAAACCCTGAATTCCTTAGCCCCACAGCCATAGGGCACCTGGCCCCACGGGCACCCCGACTCCAGGGGGACACCCAGACCCATGAGCAGCCCGTGACACCGGGGCCCCCAAGCATCCCCCCCCGGCACAGTCTGACCTCCATCCCACTCTGCTGGGGGACAAGAGGGGACTCCCAGGTGGCACTGGGGGATCAGACGGGGGCTCCCCCACGTGACACCCGGCCGGGGATTTGTGGCCACTGCAGTTCGTTCCCAAAAGCCAGCCCCGGCCACCCTAATCCGCTCAGAGCACCGGGATTACGGCGCCGTTCCCACGTCACCGGGACTGTGGCCACTCGCCTCGGCCCTCCGGCCACCTCCGTCCCGCCCCGGCGAGCGGGGGGGGGTTTGATCCTCTTACTCCCCCAGTGTCACCTCGGTGGGCACACGGCTGCCCAGAGCCCCCCGGCTCCCGCCTGCTCCGGGTGGGATTAGCCCTGATTTTCATCCCCCGACCCGCCGCGGCCCCCGGGTACCCCCAGCCCCCGGAGCGCCGACCTGGGTGCAACCGGGGGCTCCCGAAAACTCCCCAGCGGGGGAAACTGAGGCAGGGACCGGGGTTGTGCCGGTGCCGGCGGGAGGGAGGTGGGAGGTGGGGTTTTCTCCCCGCCGTGGGATCCGCCTGCTCCGTTGCACATTCCAGCGCGGGAGTTGGGGCGCGAGGCACAGCCCACGGCGTTTTCCCAGGATCCCGGCACGGCACGGCACGCCGGGAGAGGGGCCGAGGCGCGCCAGCCCGCCGGAGCCATATAAGGGCAGGCGGTTCACCATTTCCAGGCATTTTCCAGAATCCCAGCGGCCTTGGGAGCGGGGAGGTCCCCGCGGCTCCAAGCCCAGCTGCCGCGGCCGTCGCTCCCGTCGCTCCCGGCCCCGGCTGGCACCGCCGGGCCCGGCGGGCACGGGCTGGGCGCCGGCGCTCCCGCCCGCGGGGACACCGGGGGTCCGGCACGACGGGGGTCCCCGTGTCAAGACATTCCCGGGACGCGGCGGCATCGACTCCGCGGGGCTGCCAAAGCCTCTTAGTGCCCGGCGCCCGTGGCGTCCCACCGCCTAATCCCAACGGAGGGGCGCGGGGCACCCCCACCCCACACCGGGACCCCCGTCCAGGGGTCACCCCGCATGCCCCAGCCTGTCCTGCACGCTCCGGCTGGGCCTGGGGACCCCCCACGTTTCCGTGGGTGCCTGTCTCGGGAGTTTCCCAGCACTCCCAGGGTCCCCAGTCCACTGCACCCCCCGGGACCCAGCCCTGGTCACCCCAGGATCCACAGCTCCCGTGGGGACCCCCAGCTCCTGCCTCACTGGCACCCACAGCTCCAGGCATCCCTGAATCCACGAATCCTGCCCTTCCAGGACCCGTGGATCCTGCTCCACCGGGACCCACGGATCCTGCCCCACGGGAGTGCAACGGCTCCCGCCCTACCGGGACCCACGGATCCTGCTCCACCGGGTCTCAGAGATCCCACTCCACTGGGATGCAACGACTCCCGCCCCACCAGGACCCCCGGATCCCGCCTCGCCGGGACCCTCGCTGCCGGGTACCCCTGGGACCGCCCCCTCCCGCCCGGCGGGGACCCCCGGCTCCCCCCCCGCGGCCCCCACGGCCGTGCCCCGCTCCCGCCCGGGTCGGACTCACCGCGCTCCGCTCCCGCCGCCGCCGCCCCAGCCCGTCCCGTCCCGCCCCGTCCCGGTCGTGCCCGCAGGAAGCGGCGGGAGCGCCCCGGGGCGGGGACAGTGGCCGCCCCGCCCGGCCCCGGGAACGGGGACTCCCGGGAATGGGAGCGGGATAGGATCGCAGGGAGCCTGGGCGGCGTGTGGGGCACGGTCCGGTACTGTCCCGGTCCCTGTCCGGACCAAGTATGGTCCCGGTACAGCCCAGGTACTGTCCCGGTACGGTCCGGGTGTGGTCCAGGTACTGTCCCGGTGCCGGTACAGTCCGGGTATGGTCCCGGTACAGTCCCAGTAAGGTCCTGGCACGGTCCCAGTACAGTCCAGGTACTGTCCCAGTACAGTCCAGGTCCCGGTATGGTCCAAGTACTGTCCTGACCCATTCCTGGCATGGTCTGGGTTCTCTCCTGGCACGGCCCTGATGCTGTTCCGGGATGTGCCGATGCACAACGTGGGAGGATCCCACACCCACCAGGGCACCCGCGGGGTCACTGCCCCACCACGGGCACCGCGTGCCACCAGCCGTGGGGTGGATGTGGGGCACCCCCCGGTGCCGGGGCGGGGGGGGGTACACCCAGTCCCCCTCTATCCCACCTCTGCCCCTTCGTCTCCAGCGCCCTGCTCTGGCACTGCCGAGATGCCTGAGCCCCCAAATCCGGCTGTGCGAGCTCCCCACTGCTCCCACAGCCACAAGGGGGTCTTAGACCCCAAATAAAGCTGAGGGGGTAGCTGGAGCCCCCAGCCCCCTGCGGCACCTGCCACCAGAATGGGCCCATTCTGGCAGCGGGAGCCTCGTGCCACTGGCGCCAGATCCCACTCAAAGGCCGGATTGTTCCGAGTGGAGTGGGAACACGGCCAGGCGTGGCACCAGCACTGCGTGGCATCATGGGGGGACGTGTGGCACCCGTGGGGTGGTGGGGTCCCTGCTGCCCTTGCCAGCACAGGAACACATGCTGTGCCAGCAGCCGGAGCGAGACACAGCTGAGATGGTGGCGGCTCCTTCGCCAGGATGAGACGTGGGCACGGGTGGGTGCTGGGGGCTGGATGATGGGTGCTGCTGGGGGCACATGGGGCTGTAACCACCCCCACTAAGCCACACCCGGATCCTGTCCTGTCCCCCATGGGCCTGCCCCGAATCCCATGGACCCTTCCCACACCCCCTTCCCAGACTCCCCTTCCCAAATCCCTCTCTCCTTCCCATCTCCCCAGAGCCCCCTCTCGCCATAACTCCTTCCCTTCCCCTCTTCCCAAATCCCCTCCGCAAACCCCCTCCCTGTACCGCTCTTCCCCGTATTCCGCCTCCGCAGATATCCCCTCGCCCATATCCCCTCCCCAGACCCTCTCCCCCTCCTTCCTTCCTTCCCCAAACCCCCCCATCCTCCCCTCCCCGGACCCTCTCCCTCCCCGCTCTCTTGCCCTCGGTCCTCCCGCCCGCCAGGGGGCGCCCCGCTCCCTCCTGCCCCCACCGTCCTCCCGCCCGCCAGGGGGCGCGCCCCTCCCTCCCCCTCAGTTCCCGTCGTGCCCCGCGCGGCCGAGGCGGGAACGCGGCGGCTCAAGATGGCGGCGGCGCTGGCGGCGCGGAGCTGCCTGGAGCTGAGCGCGGCCGGGCGGGCCCCGCCGCGGCCCCCGCAGGAGCTGCTCTTCGTGCCTCCCGGCACCGCCCCCCTCCCCGCCGGCCGCTACCCCGACAGCGCCGGCGGCTTCTGCTACCAGGAGAGCGCGCAGCTCGCGGCCGCCACCAGGAACCGATGGGTGCGGTGGTGAGTGCGCGCACCCGCCCACCCTGCGCCGCGTCGCTCCCCTCAGACCCTCCTCATCCTCACCTCCCCCCTCCTCACCTCCTCAGACCCTCCTCATCCTCACTTTTCCCCTTCTCACCCCTTTCAGGCCCTTCGCTTCCTGAGACCCTCTTCATCCTCGTCTGTCCCCTTCCCACTCCTTCAGACCCTCCTCATCCTCACCTCTCCCTTCTCACCTCCTCAGACCCTCCTCTACCCTCCTCAGACCCTCCTCACTCTCACCTCTCCCCTCTTCATCCCGCTTAGACCCTCCTCACCCTACTCAGACCCTCTTCATCCTCATCTCTCCCTTCTCAACCCCTCAGACCCTCTTCATCCTCATCTCCCCCCTCCCACCCTCTCAGACGCTCTTCATCCTCACCTCTCCCTTCTCATCCCCCTCAGACCCTCCTTACCCTCACCTCTCCCCTCTTCATCCCACTTAGACCCTCCTCACCCTACTCAGACCCTCCTCATCCTCATCTCCCCCTTTCCACCCCCCTCAGACCCTCCTCATCCTCACTTTTTCCCTTCTCAGCCCCTTCAGGTCCTTCTCCCACTGAGACCCTCCTCATCCACCTCTCCCTTCTCACCCTCTTCAAACCCTCCTCATCCTCACCTCTTCTTTCCCACCCCCCTCAGACCCTCCTCATCCTCGCTTTTCC